AGATTTTGCACGATGTTAAATATCAACTGCAAAAGTTTCTAAAGCATCCTCTTTACTTTTAGTGCACTTTTAGCAGCAGTAAACGCATATAACCTCCTCCAGCAGAGCAAGAAAAGCACAGTGAGATCAGTTTTGATGAAGCAGTGAGAAACTCTATGAGGAACATCGCATTTATCATCACCGACAAAGCCAGCTTTGAGCTAAACAAAAGCCTCCAGATGCAGCGCTAAATTTATCCAACAACAAACAGCAGGCGTCGCAAAGCCATTGATCAAAGCCTGTCAAAGCTACGCAGCGCAGTGGAGGTCCAACGCAGAGGAACGCTCTCAAGGAAAAGAAATCAAGCTCATAAATCGCACTTATTGTTGACCAAGACACGTCTCAGAATTACAGCTGTCCGGGTTTTGTTCAGGCAATTTTGCAAATAAATCTGAGGATGAGAATCAACTGTCAAGTGAAGTGATTTATTTGAAACCTTCACAGCAACAACTACGTCTGTCTCGTGTTCATTGTCTGTGTTTGGGGTTTTAACCTTTTGTACAGTATATGATACTATAGGTTCTTAACATTTAAGCTACTTGGGTCAATTTGTATTTTATGAATTGCACCAGATCTACATTTTTTTTTTTGTTTAAACAACTAAAACCATATTGCTGCCTACGCTAAGGATAGGAGAACTTGTGCAAGATTAAATTTATGTACCATAATATTTATTTGAAACAACATTCTTCGCAAAGGATATTTTTCTTAGAAGTTGAAATACAAGTTTAATCACTAGTTTAAGTACAAAGGCTTTTTCTAACAAGTCACTAGTGGTCCAGGTTGGCGATTTGAGTTGTCACTGAAACCTACTGGCTATATAGAGCCTTCAGTTGTCTGTCAACATGTTTCATAAATGGAAGTCTTATCATCTGATTGAATCTTTTCTGGTCAGCTGTGCTGTTTCTATACCTGAATGCGGGGTTCCTGTTAGGTCTGGGTGTCCGAGGCTACAGCCCTGAATGTTTGGTTTTTGCAAAAGTAGGAAGAATGAAAACAAATAGCAATGCATCTACTAATCTGTGAGTCAAATTATGCCTTAAAGCCTTTGCAAGTAATATGACACAGCTGATGAAAAAATGTTGGAACATTAATTGATTGTCTGTGAAAGTCTGACCTGTTTCATGTCGAGTGCTTTACTACAGAGACTTTTCATTTAGAATGTGACCTCTCATGTCATTAAAGTGGCTGACGACATACAGCAGCAGGTCGGTGAGAAACAATAAAAACACATTTTATTGCTTTACTGTAGACTGTTGCAGATTGATAAGTTACCATGGAGCTAAACTTGGAGGAAAATGTTCAGGGTTTCCTGTCAGCAACACAAGAAGCAGATGTGCTCTGATTGTCATTAATGATGTATTTGGGGGATTGTGTGATGGGTGAAGCTTTGCCTCTCACCAGCACCTGCATCTCTTCTCCTGGACTATTTAAAGTGTGGCTCACCCAAATTACTCCTGAATAAGAATCAAGAAAACAAGTATTTTCCAGTCATGATAATGGCTTTTAATCATGACAGATAAGACTAGCCACCCTGCCTTCACTGCAGTGTTAATATGGAATATAAAGAATGAAGGTAGGATGACCTTATTTCGCCGAGAGGACCGTGTCTTATATTTTACATTCATTTTAGTATGAAATCACTTGAAAATAATGTGAGGTTTAAATCAACAGACTGCTGGGTTGGGCTGAGACCGCAAAGAGTCAGGATCCTAATGACACCTCTGGTTTGGTCTGAACCGTGATATTTGAATTACTGACACAGCAAATAATAATACTGTTTGTTCTAAGCCTTCATTTTTAAAGTCATAGGTACTGCTGTTGTTCTAAGTATGCTAAATAAACACCGGTGGCTTGTCTTGAAGATAGCTGGTGGTTTCAGGTTGGGAGTTGTTTGTTTCGGGACAGTCCAAAGTTAGCTAACACCGCTAGCAGCGCAAACTGAAGCTAACAGTTGACAGTCTCAGTAAATAAGGCGCTGATAATAGCTGGATGGACAAACTGGAGTTTAAAAACTTGGGTTACACTCACTTCTACGCCTCGAATCGATCCTTTCGATCTTGAAGTCATACTGTCGAAGCGGGGTTGGTGACAGAGAGCCAGTCTTCCCGAACCTCAGGCTGGACGAGTTCAACGCCTCCTTGAAGTAAATCACCGAGGTCGGGGACAGAGTCTCATCCGGACTGTCGGCGTGCCCGTTTTCATCGGAGGAATTCTGCCTCCCAGAACTTTCACAGACCTCTGACTGAAGAGGCAGATCTCCCGGCGGCGTATCCCGCTCCGCCATCCTCCCTCCGGTCAGATTTTCTTCATGTGACCGGCGGGTGGGCTGTCAGTCAGCGGTCAGCTAGCTAGCTAGGTGCGGCTAACTCCTGCACCGCTGCGGTTAGCAAAACAGTCGACGGGCTGGTGAGTCGGTTTACTCCTAAATCTACCCGGTGATCACTCCGCCTTCGATCCCGTCCTCCGCAGCCTCCTCCTGACCCGGAAACAGCCGCGTACCAGCATTTTGGTGAAACCTGGTGCTAAATTCGCGAGAGTTTCCACGCTGTGTCAGCGATCCGTTCACATGACCAGAGACCGTTCACATTGCGGAGAGGAGACGCTGGTCGCAGATTCATGACTGGGCCTCTTTATGCTCCCATGATTCATTGCGACACAAATGGAATTCCCGGAGCACTTGTGCCTCTCTTGTCTCTCAGACTCTCTGATGCACTACTTGTGTCTTTCTGTGTTAATAGGACACTCACAGATATTTAGAGACAGATCATTTTGCTGGAAAATATGGAAATAAAATACATTTTATGAATACAAAACACTGACAGGCAACTAAAGCATCTATTTAGATAACACATTTCAGTGATAGCCAGTAATAATACCAGAAGAAATACATTACAAATCAAATTGGATATTGCAAAGTTAAAAACCTGTATAAATAGTGAAAATAACTTCAAATACTTGAAGGGTACCAATATTTTTGGGAAGTTTTAATACAATAATACCGTAGAATTATATAGTGACACATTGTTAACTACTTACTATTTTAAAAAAAATTCAATCAACATGTAAATTAATATTGTTGTTTTTTTTGTCATTTTACTAAATATTATCAGTCATTTAACAAAACAGGGACAATCTGTAAAATAACAACCTGGAATACACACCTTGCTACAAAGAGCCTAATTAAATTATCCATACAGGGAAAATATTATCAGAATAAATATAACAGCATCTTGCAGAATCTTTTGAGATTTAGGGTACAGTTTAATAAATTCCTACCATCCATCCATCCATCCATCCATCCATCCATTATCTATACACCGCTTAATCCTCACTAGGGTCGCGGGGGGGCTGGAGCCTATCCCAGCTGACTTAGGGCGAAGGCATAAATTCCTACCATGTCATTTTAAAATATTTTTGTAGAATTACTTAAGGTCATTCATGTACATACAGGATTCAGTGAGGCTTCAGTGTGACTAAGGTTGTTGGTATTTTGTTAATGTGAGGATATAAAACATGGTTGCAATTGAGACAATTTTTTTCTCAAATGAGTATTCAAATAAAGACAGGAAGGGCTGCTGCACATGTAATGCCGACAATGGACAAAAGGAGGTGATAAAGGACTAACATATTGGAAGGAACTGTAAAATATGATTTCCTTTTTCTTGAATACCACAAACTTTAATTCAAATTATAGGTCACAAATGTTAGTTTCCCATTGAAATGTTTGAAGTGTGTTTCCAGATCTTAAAGGGAGTAACTTTTATTTAGTTTTCATTATAAGACAAGTTGCTAAAAGTTTTGTACTTTCATTTTAAGTGAATGAATAGACCCTCCTGGGCTTGGCAATAAAGCCCAGAAAATGAAACACAGTCTGTTATGTCATATTTTTAGAGTAATAACATAAAAGTACATATTTATTTGAGAGGAAGAATGTACCTGAAGGGATACACCAGCTTGAAAACTCCAACAGGGACTCGAAACAAATACCAACAGCTTGTGCTTCGACATGAAGCTCAGTCTTCCTTGTCTTTTATTGTCACATAAAACCACCTTGAAGGAAACTGAAATGTCCCAACAACTGAACAGATTTCTGTGTAATTCCGAGCAGACATTTATGACTAGACTACTGTGTTTGATTTTCTTCTAAAGTTTCTTTAAGCACCTTCAGCAGGTTGACATTTAAGGAAATAACTCAACTATTGAATGTATTGACATGAAATTTGATGCAGATATTCACGGTGTGTTGATGAACACATTTTTTTTTTATAGCCATCAAGAACCTGACATTTGTCAAAACTTCTCAACTACTTTTGAACTGGTTGCCATGACATTGTGGCGTTCAGGCTCGTCTTAGAATGAGTTCTAATAACTTCAACCATCATTCAATGAAACAGTCATTAATGATATTTTCACCAGTCTAGTCTGTTCTGTGTGTTTAGTCGTACTTGGCAAACGTTGCCACGCGACCACACTAAACTAACATGGTGAACATGGTAAACATTACACCAGCATCTTAGGGTTGTCATTATGAGAATGTGCAGCCTGACAGTCGCTAACATGACTGTAGACTCTGGCTGAGGAACCACACAATGTAATCACCATCAACATCATTTATAGTGTTGCCTGGTTAACTGCCAGACAGTAAACTAATAAGTGAACCTATTAGCACATCATTTAGACAGTTCATGTGAAATAAATAGTAAAAACTAGGGGTTACCTGGTGTGTTTTGTTCTGGGCCTCTGCAGCACTAAAGGAAACTGATAACTGATAAAAAAATATATATATATTTTGGTGTCAAATGTAGAATCACACAAACTCCAACACAAAACTTAATTGAAATGTCATTGTACATGTATACTTTGTTAATGTTTTTTCATTATTTANTGTTGTACATATGCGCTATACAAATAAAATTTAATTGAATTGATTTTGGTGTTTTAAGTGAAAGCAGACTAACCTGCGAGTCCAGATCTTCTCCCTTCATACACAGATTGGCATCGATGACATTTAGCCCGACGAGCAGCCCGGCGATGACGGCGCCCTCCTCCTCCATCATCAACGCGTTCGGCTCGTAGAATTCACTACAGAAAGTTTTGATTTAGTTTACTGTTTGGTTGATATGATCAAATCCAACAAAACTCTCATAGATGGGACAATAATTGGTTTTACTCTCATATAAGAAGGAAAGTGCTTCCAGGATTAATCCATTGTTTTCTGAACCCGATTACAAGTTGATTTAGTTGTATTTTAAGAAACCACCGCTGATCTGGTTTAAGTCTGTCATCATCATTTCAGTATAAAATTAGCAGGTTCAGGTGATTCATTATGCTGCAAATATTAGCCTTTTGTGTTAATTAAGAATTCATTTCAGCCAATAAGGCTGCAGGTAGAGTCACTGTGGTCCATATAGTTAATCTAGTTCAACAAGCAGATTTTTTGGGGCTGAAAATTGATTGAAAAGTAGGTGTGTGTAATTTCAGTGGACCCAGATGTTCGTTGGTTGACTCCAGCCCCAGAATTCACTGTAAATGGCAGCGATGCTCAGCACAGCGGGACACAAGCACACCTGAGCAGGTCCTTTCTGTTGATGATGGTCTTCATATAGTCAGAGAGCTTCTTCTGCATCAAGGCCAGTCGTAACCAGGCGCGACCTCTTCCCAGAGGAGTTCTGGCATCAAACACAGGAAAAGTCAGATTTAACTTTTGGGAACGGCGCATAAAACGACAACAACTAACTTTTTTTTTTTTTTTTTTACGAAACGGCAGATGTGTTTTCATACGCTCAAGAGAAGTTGATGTAAACTTGTGCAAATGCAAAAAACAACATGTGAATTATTCTTGTTTCTATTAACTGCTTTGGGGGGAACAAACTCCGCTGCGTAGTGTCACCAGAAGGTGGCAGTAAATGCTACACGGCTGTAATAAACAGAGTAGAAGAAGCTGGAAGCACAACCGGTTGTTTGCAAACTGCTAAAAAGGTTTTCAGTCTTGACAGTTGTAATTATTGTTTCATGTCAGCTGGTAGCCGACATTTCTCACGCTGACCGGAGACAATGTAAATGTTGATTACATCAGAACTTATTGAGAAAATGTGTTTCCATCCTCTTTTTTTTTTGTTTTTGAAAAAGTCAGAAAACCACTTCAACAAAGCATAAAAACCTTTTGGAACATTTAGAAAGTTATTTTTTCCACTTCCAACTTTACCTAAAGCAATCATTCAAACTGCACATAAAAGTAGATACACCGCCAACAACAACTTGCAACGGAGCCCCAAACTGCAGCCAGCGTTAACTTTTGGAGGAACGCGTCTTGGCATCGTTTGCTGCTCAAATTCAGTGAAAAGGATCAATAACATCAATAAAATGTTAAGTCTTAATGACTTAAGAAGATGATGAAGTGACTCACTTGAGGCCTGGCAGGTCTTTTACACTGGCAGTGATCTCCCCTGCCTCAGGCGTCAGCTTCTCCACCAGCTCCAACGCCCCCCAGAACGACTTGTTCTGCCCCAGGAAGGTCTTCTTAGCTGATGATTGACACACAGCGTTCGTTGATGCATTTCCATTTCGAGGAACACGCCAGCCTCACAGCTTTAATCCCTCATAAATCTATTTGATTGTTTTGAATGTGACGGATGTCCCCTTTAGTGAGCTGGGCTGGTGGTTCTGTTTTGCTTTGGGGGGGCATTTTGTTGGCACAGTTTGGGTTCACTTGTTACACAAATTAATACAAAGTCGTTTTAACACCTTACTAAGAATCTTTATGCTGCTTTTTCCTTTAATTTGTTGGTAAACTTTCAATTTCACGTGTTTTCTCTGATTAAATTGAAGCGTCAAGATCTCAGATTTCACTGTCAAACACTACAGACTTCATAAGAGTCAGTTAACGTGCAACTATGACAGAACATTTGAGCCATACGTACTTTTCAATCCGTGTTTCAGACAGTGCTCCATGACGACAAAGAACTGCTGAAGAGGTGCATAGTCGGAGTCGAGAGTGCGTCCGAGGTTCAGAGCAGACTCGATCAGGCCCTTGATGCTCAGTTTGGCCATGTTCATCAAGTTAAGCCTTTCGATTGCAATGGGATCCTTGGGATCTAAAAAAGAAGAGGGACAAAAAAAANACAATGTAATCACCATCAACATCATTTATAGTGTTGCCTGGTTAACTGCCAGACAGTAAACTAATAAGTGAACCTATTAGCACATCATTTAGACAGTTCATGTGAAATAAATAGTAAAAACTAGGGGTTACCTGGTGTGTTTTGTTCTGGGCCTCTGCAGCACTAAAGGAAACTGATAACTGATAAAAAAATATATATATATTTTGGTGTCAAATGTAGAATCACACAAACTCCAACACAAAACTTAATTGAAATGTCATTGTACATGTATACTTTGTTAATGTTTTTTCATTATTTATTCATTGGTGTTCATAGCAGGTCATTGCTTAACGTGTAACCAGTCAGATGGTGTTAAAGTGTGACATTGCTCAACACCACAGGGTGGCAACTACACTCTAAAAGGTAATAGCTATGCTTACTTGAATCACATTGGTGTACTTTTCTTATTTCTCATTGTCCTGTTCATTTAACTCATGGACTGAGTATGTCCTCATTTTTCCTTATGGAGTTATAAATCTAAGTATACTTGAGTAAACTGGACTTGAAACGTTCTGGTCCTGGACTGAACACAGAGCTCAGCAGTGCACATGTGCAGGAGAGACGTGCAGGAGAAGTTTCCAGAAACTTTACGGGGCGGCTGTGGCTCAGGTGGTAAAGCGGGTCGGTCAATGATCGGAAGGTTGGTGGTTCTATTCCGCCCTGTAACCTGTGTCATGGTCGTTGAGTCCTTGGGCAAGACACTTCACCCACGTTGATGTGAATGTGGATGAATGGGTTGTTTGGGGTGGTGGTCGAAGGGGCAGAATGGTAGTATGCCCCAGGGCAGCTGTGGCTCCAATTGTAGCTACCACCACCAGGATGAATGTGTGAATGAATAACTGACAGTGTAAAGCCACTTTGAGTGTCTAGAAAAGTGCTATATAAATCTCATCAATTCTTATTATTATTTAAGTTTCTAACACTTGGAAAGATCAAATTCACTATTACGCTATTTTTAAGTTCACAAAATTAAGTAAATACAACTAAATTTTAAGTGAACTTTACAAGTAGATATGAAGTAAACTGTATTTAAGACTAATGGTTATATTTACTTACCTTTTTTGAGCGCAACCAGTTTCATAGATTCGTTTAAGTAAGATCAACTTTTCACATTTTACAGTGTACAGATGGAGGCGGCTGCATCAGAGTCAAAGTTTTACATTTTAAAATCTATTCAATTCTTAATCTGCTAAAAAATATATACTAATATTTATAAAAATATTCAATATCAGTCAACATCCAGCACAAATATATAACACAGAAACACAAATATGTAACTGAGCAGGTTTTATCAGCACAAACTGCCATTATTAGGCTTTAAAAGCAAATATTTGTGAAATATAAAGCTTGAAAATGAGCGTTACCTATGTTGTGTGAAGTCTTCCCAGTTTGAGGCTGAAAAGAGCATCAGGTCACTGCAGGAGGCTCAGAAGAGGATTTTCTGTTTCCCTCACAGGGCTCCGCTACATAACTCACAGTGAAACCTCACAGCTGTACGAGAACATCTGGCCGACAGTTAACACACACTGCAGACCTCCTTCACTGCACGACCAACAGAGTGTTGTATACAATGTTTAGTTACACAATATCAGCACAATGCCGTGGTCAGAGTTCCTGTCAAACAGTATCGAGATTTTAAGATATGAAATTCTGATTCATAACACAAAATATACTATACATGATGTGAATTCCTCTAAACTGGAGTGTTTCCACCACCTGTGGACATTAATTCAGCTCTTGTCTTGTCAGATCTGTTTATGTCCTTGGTTTACTCAGAATTAATTTGTTTCCTTTTGCTTCACGCTTCTGGCCTCTTGTTTAGTTTTATTTCAGGGTTAATTGATGGTTATTTATATTTTTATGGCGTAGAATTTCTAAAATGTTTAAAAATTGTAGCTTTTGTCTTCTAAATATCTCATTTCAGGTTGGAGTTGTTTGTGTCAACTGGAAAAAGCAGACACTAGAAAACATTTAGTCTGAGACGATGTTCAGGATGTCAGTTAGTTCTTGTCAAATGTCTGCAGATTTCATTTCAGTTAAAATTAATTGAAGGGCTACAAGGTGACTCAGTGGTTAGCACTGTGGCCTCGCAGCAAGAAGGTTGCCGGTTTGCGTCCCGGTGAGGACACCAGGATCTTTCTGTGTGGAGTCTCAATGTTCTCCCCGTGCAGTGTGGGTTCTCTCCGGGTTCTCCGTCTTCCTCCCTCAGTCCAAAAGCATACTGAGGTTTATTGGTGATTCTAAATTGTCCGTAGGTGTGAATGTGAGCGTGCTTGGTTGTCTGTCTCTAAGTGTAGCCCTGTGATAGACTGGTGACCTGTCCAGTGTGTCCCCTGCCTTTGTCTTGCGATAGACTCCAGCCCCCCGCGATCCTAGTGAGGATTAAGCAGGGGGCTGGAAGAAAATCTGGCAATGGTGCCAGAAAAATACAGTAGAAAATGGTAGAACACTGTGACATTTAAAAAGCTAAAAACAGTGAATACAACAACAACAAAAAAAAATCTGTAAAATACTGATAATTTTAAACTGATTCAAATATAGTAACTGTACTTTTATGGTCACACATTATGAAAGCACTAATTACGAAATTACTGATTTTTGATGCAATAATTAGATATAATTCTGCATGTTTGCTTGTTTTTTTTATCGTTAACTTTTCTTTGATTTTTACTAGATATTATCTGTAATTTAACAAAACAGGAAAAATCAATAATGCAATTGTTTAAAAAAAATAGATTTTGCATTTTTTATGTCCTTAATAAACATAAAGTCCTTTCAGAAAACAGCCAACGTCCGTAAATAATCATGTCTTTGCTTATTTAAACACAGCAAAATGGTGTTATTTAAGAATCAAGCATTCTAAAGGAACAAACTACGACTGAAAAAAATAAAGATTTGTATCTTTATTTATTTATTTAAAGTTTTGAGGATCAAACACTTACTTTCTTGAATTCTGTTGAATTTTTATGCATCTTTTGTGCCTTTTCACAGATTCAAGCACAAGATGACGATTTAAAATATATTCGACTATAATGCAGTACGACTCCTGGGTATTCTGTGTTGGTTTTAAGTATTTATTCTCCAGTACATCAATATTTCTCATTTAATATGATCCCTGTGGAATCTCAATTACCAGCTGGTAAATGCTCTGCTTCACAGGGAAATTTCATACAATTTCACTTGCTGCAGTTTGAAGAAGAAACAGGAGCTGGATCTACATTCCTGAGGAATTTCACTTCAAAGGCCTGAGCTGGCACAAACTAAATCTCCAAAGTAACACCAGCAGCATCAGACAGTCACCTTCTGCAGAACACTTTCAAACTACAAAGCATCAATAAACCGATGCAAATCACTCCCAAAGCCCCCATGAAAGGGAAAATCAAGTGAAATACCTAATGTGCTTTGTGTTTCTGAAGTGTAATTTGACATAAAGCTGGGGAACGGTGAAATAGAGACGTCCACGAGATGCCTCCACTTTACTCACTGTCTTTTTTTCCCCCTACAGATAAACTGGTCATACATGGGGGAAGGCATGGAAATGCTGACATGCTTGAGGTTGTAAATGTGTAAAACAGCAGCTGTTTTGCATTATACACTCATGTATGAGGGATGATCCCGTTTTCGCTCTAACCTGTCTCAGATATGTTGTTCTGATGTTAGCCTTAACAATATTTTGTGTTATGAATAAAAACATAAAACATTGTTTTGAGAACAAATTTCCACTTGTGGAAAAAGTTAGTGGCTTTGGTAAAAACACCAGACAAACGGTCTCTTCCCTCTGATTTAGGAAAGTTAAGACTATACCTTTACAGAATGGTCAAATATATGGAATTCACTTCATCTGCACACATGCTGCTCATACAAACTGTGACAATAGAGGCCTTGTGTAACAAAACACAACTTAAAATTGCCGCCTTTTGACTGAAGATTTCTCAAGCATGTGAAGATGCCGAGTTATAAAACCCAAAAACACAGCTGCAGCAGTGAAACAAGATGTAATATAAAAGATAACGAATACACATTTACTCTTTATCATGAATATAATCAGTCAGACAGAAGAAATCAGGGATCTTTGCTTAAAGACTGTCAGCTTAATAGGAAGCTCTACATTGAGATAATACTGTAATCTGGGTATTTATTTTAGATACACAAACCAGCTTTATCCATAAGAAACTATTTGTCCAAATGTCTCAAACACTGCTTGTAGCTTTTGAGGTATAAATGTAAAATTATTGATGGTATATACCAGATAATAAATCAGCCTCCTGAAGTTCAGATGACAAAATCAAGTCAACATCAGAAATCCCTCCACTGACTTTGCTTTGGCAGCGTTCCAGAACGCATCAGGGATCAGAGTGTGTCTCAGTCGACGTCTGGAACATCCCCAAGTAATGTTTAAACTGGATTTCCAAGTTAAACATTACTTTCTTGTTAGTGTGTATAATCCAGGGGACTACACACTAACCAACAGTGTGCAGATGTTAAAAAAAAAAAAAAAAGGGTGAAGAATTGCCAGTCAAGTAAAATAGGCCAGACAGTGAGAGCATGTTGAGACTCAGTGTTCCATGACACCAACGACAGCCTCTCTGCCTTTGACAAATAGAACACTAATGGTATCCACGTCTGCTTGTCTGATTTTGAAAATCTTCTTAATGACAAGTTAAACATTTATAAAGCTACACTGGATGATATGTAAGAAACCAATATCATCAGATTCCCCCAAAAGCCGAATTGCAGTTTAACGCACTGAACTATGATTGTGCTGCCATGCAAAAAAAATAAAGGATTTGAGACAAACCACAATTTTATTTGCTAAATGTGTTGGCAGATTACTGTGTAATGTACAAGAGGCTGTTCATGATGCAGCTTCTTGGTCTCTATTTAGCTCTTTGTTTTGATTTTACGCCTCATTTACAGATTGTCCAGCCTCATTAGCCCCTATCAAGCAGCAGCAGACAGACAAGGCTGAAATTATTCATACCCATACCAAACACTTTTTTGTAGTCTTTTTATTGGACTTGTAGTTCTCTTGTGGCTGGAAATGACATAAACAGGGGACAAACCAGGGTAATACATCGTGTTAGAGGTGTAAGGGATGAATTTTAATGTTTTGTGTGTTTTCCTTTTCCTTTGACTGAAAAAGGCCATGTCCAATATGAATCATACCCCTTTAAACTGTCAAATTTTTTTAAAGAAAATGCACCTTTTATACCATTTTGGTAATTTCTACCATGTTCTAAAGCATTCTAATACACTTTAAACGGAGAACAGCTGATGTTATAGGTCTCCACTCAGCTACGAGCCAATTACAAGTGGCGGCTAAAACCAAAGAGCTTAGCGAGCTGCTGTTAGAGTCCATCCCTGAGGCAAGGTTGCGGTATTGTGGCTGCTCACAAGACAAGGGAAAGGCAATAAAACCAAGTGTTTCACAGTTTTTAAGGTCCAGTGGCCACAGTGAACAGCAACATCAAAAAGCACAAGGAGTTCCACACTGTGAAAAATCCCAAAGGGTTTGGTAGGAAGCCAAAGGGGATGGAGGTGAAGAAGAATCCAAGGACCAAGACCATCCTGAATAATCTGAGCAGTTCTGGTAGGAACCTCTTAAGGCAGATCTTCAAGTAGACCAGAGAGTACCCCATCTCTCCCATACAACCACAGAAACAGAGCCTTTGCAAAAGTATATCTGGACAAAGAAAAAATCTTTTGTTCATCAGTTCTGCGGTCAGATGAAAAGAAAATATAGTTATCTGGATACAAGGACGTGGTTCACTTGGTGACAGAAAAGAGAAACATTCAGAAGAAATGGGTCCAGCATGATGGTGGGAATATAATGACTTGGGAGTGCCTTTCAACCAATGGGCCAGGCGACCACGCTAAAATGAAGTGCACCATGTGAAAATAGAACTAAAGAAGGAAAACATCAGTCTGCAGAAGAACATGGCCTCATGCAGCATTAAACCTTCAAACAAGATGCATGCAGCCAAAGTAGTCGAAAAATGGATATCAGAAAACAATCTGAACATTTAGGAGAGTGGAAACAAGGTAGGCTTCAATCTCAAAAGGCTGAAAACAAACGAGGAGTGGAACAAAACCCTGGTGCATGCATAAGGACTGCTAGCAAATATAAGAAGGGATTATTGTTATGGTAAATAAAACAAGCGTCTGGAACATAAAACCTTACTGTCATTTTCCAGTGGCTGAGATCATTTTCAGCCATAAAAAGCCTACTGGTCAGGGAAAAATTCTTTATAAATCAAAATTTCTCATAAACTTTAAGTATGAGCAATTTTGGACTTACCTGTGCAGCTTCAACAGGATGATAGCCTAGCCAAGGTAGCTAACTGCTAAGGCTAACATGCTAGCAGCTATCTGTTAGGTCGAGTTCTTTTTCAGAACACATGTAATGGTCATGACATTTATGCAAACATTTCAGATAACCTTTGTTTCATTTTCTGGCATATTTTACTTAAACCTATTTTTTTGTTTCCTAGTTGCCGCCATAAAAAGAAAAGTATCATGCTGCATTCACGGAACACTTGTTAATCAGAAGAGGCCCGAGGCGGTTTTAGCCACGGTGCTAACACCAACAAATAGCAAAAGTAACTTATGTGTTGCTTCCATATTTTGCGTTTTTGTTGGAGACTGCTACCAAGTGGAGCAGAGACACACAAAAGTACAGACTTAATATAAAATTACGTAAATCTATTGTGTTAGTAAGCCAGAGGTTAATGTTATTTCCCATGTGTCTGCCCTCGCGAACGCAGCTTGTGGCTTTAAAGGGAACGTCATGTAAGTACTCCAGTATTGCATTTATTTATTTATTTATTTTTTAAAAACATTTTTTAGCTGTTTGGATCATTCTTGTGTAAAACAAGGTGAGGTAAGTTTATTTCAGTTACTTAAGTCAGGAAAGTCATTTTTAAAAAAATGTTTAGCTATAGAAGCTTAGTTAGCTTACAGAGGTTATAGCATTGCTAACATTGCTGCAGATTTAGTTGCCATTTAATCATCAACTAAAGTTTGTGCGACACCATTATGAGCATATAAACCATATAAAAAGCTGCAATAATAAGCTGGTGGAGAATAACAGGTATATTTTTACAGTAATGTCCATTTAAGCAGCTGAGGCAAAACATTAACTGCCTACGTCAAGTCATTACGCTCAGACCGTCACAGGAGAGACAAGGTTTAAATGATGTTTTTCTTCTTTTCAAAGAAAGTAAACGTTCAACTTTTCCCTGCCAGTGTTTGATTCACTGACGAGCAAGAAAGAGCGGGAAGATTTACCCTCTGATTGGTCACACATATATAGGTAAACCTTTATAACCATTCGCTAATCTTTACTGTCCTTTACTGTGGCAGGCGAGCCTATATACATGTTGAAACCTGGAACTGTCTGCTGTACATCTGGTGCCTTTTACTGTTTTACAGCAGCTTGACTTGCCTGAGAGACCAGAGTTTTCCTGAGTGGTCTTATCAAACCATTTTGTAATAAATAGTGACAGGTTCCTGAAAGACGCTGCAGTCATCTCCCAAAAATTGAGTTTATAAAACATTTTACGGGGATTAAGTCCACTTAAATCCAGTCCTAAGAGATTCCACCAAAGCAGGCAATAAACTGCCAACATTTTTTTTTTAATTCCTTGAAAGAGCTGCTGAAGCTTTGTAATAAACTCTTCAAATCCTGCTAATTGAAAGTCAGAAGGCTTGGACATAATTTCAGACTTTGTAATCCTATATATAAAAAAAAAAGCAAAAGGACAAAGTGTAATAGTGACTGGCACCAAAATAAATTGTAGACATCACAGAAGGACACACTTGGACTTACGTACCTCTCAATAAATAATAAGATTATAGAAAGAAAGCTATAATTAATTTTTGAAATATTCATCATTAGGTGTGAGACTGGATGACACATGAACTATTAAGGATGCAAAGAGTATTTCTCATTGTTGTTTGAGTAATGACACCATTATTACTTTGAATTGATTTGATCTAATCCTGCAGTGTTTCTTCCAACAGATGGCGCTGTATACCTGATCCACAGGAGAATTAAGTCCCTGCAAGCGTCCCATTATGAAGCTGCTGTAATCCAGGAATGCATTGCAGATATACATATATATATATATCATAAAATAAAACAATGCCTTTTTGGAAGTATAATTAATATTCCAGAGGTATTTTATCTGCAGGAAGTAGTTTGTGATAAAAAGACAGCAATGCCAATGACCGAGAAATATAAAAGAGTTCATTTTTACAGGTGTGAGCAGAAATAAATAATTGATTCCTGAAAGCTACACGTTTCTCAAGTCTCATTATTGTTGAGCAGATGCCTGCATGCATTATTTGTTGTTTTTATTTCAATGCATGTTATTGTTTTTCAATCTAATGTGGTTCAATGATTGATTTCAACATTACAGAAATCCAGTATTCTTACTTTTTGTGCATGTTTTCAGCAAAGTCTAAGTGTGTGCAGTCAGGCTTTGACCCCTGTCCTGGCGGAGCTGCACAATGACTTTGGTGAAATAAAGCGGGGAGAGGAGCGACGGAGCAGCGGAGGAGCAGTTTGACCTCCCACCGGAGGAGTGGCGTTGACAGAAGGATGGTCCAGCAGATAGAGGCGGCAGCATGCTGAGCGCAGCCGCCGCGTAGTGCCACATACAAACTTCACCGAGCGGTGGAAGTAGACTTCTTTACCTTCATGCCACCGCAGGGGTGACAACACACACGGAGCCAAAGATCAACAATACAGCGGTAAGTCATTTACGCTGGCTGCACCTTGGAGCTGTTGGCACTTTAAACTGTTCAGGCCTTGTGTGCGTGTGTTTGACCAAAAATAAAAATAAATCTGTGTGGTTCCATGCAGCACGTTACAGGTAACTTCAACATTTTGGCGACTTTGTCATGTTTTAATTACACTTTGAGTCATTCTGGTTTCGTGGTTTTGTTAAACTAGTTAAATGATCACTCGGTTACAGAGTGAGTTGCGCGTAAATACGCAGGAGTGCGTTTTGTTTTGATCAACCTTTCGGTTTGGCCAATTAAAGTTTGATTTTTTTTTCAAACTCCTTCAACTTCTACATATTTGGAGTCAAAGCCGTCCACTGTATAACAAAGTCAGCTAATATTCTCACAGGATTACTGCACTTCTTCCATTGTTAGTGTCTACATAATTTGTGCTGCATTTTTCTGCATTGTACTGTAAATCTCATCAATCACACATTTTTTTTGTACCTGTGTGGAACATCCATCAAATGTTTAATGTTTCAGTTTGCAGCTCAAGAGACTGTCCTTTCTGTCAAAGTCTGGTGCGACTTCAGAGCACAGAAGTCACCTCTCCTTGTGTTACTTTGTCAGGTCAAACATCAGCAGCCGCTCTGTCTCTCCAGTGATCCGCTCTGCTCAGCACTTTCAGTAAGGAGATTTATTACAGCCAACCTGAAGACATGAGTGGCACGAAGAAGTGAGTGACTTCATTAAGCTTTACAGGAATGCTTTTCACCCTGTGCACAGCTATTTTACCTTAAATCAATTGAATGTGGCTCATCTGTGTGTATGAACAGCTGCTGGTGGTCACGATGAGGAGTAATTTAGGTGTGTTTTGATAACAAGGGTATTGCCAGTGACTAGGTGTTGCATAACTGGCGAAAAAGGGGAAATTTCCGGCTTGTAGTCGGTGCTGGAGTTGGTTGGGCTGTAACTTTTCTGCATGTCAACTTAATACAAAGAGTATAGCAGTATATCTGATCTACTGTCAGTTACAAATTGTATGTGGAAAGCCAAACTGCCACGCTCGACATTAACAAGCTCCTTAAAGGTCATTTGAAGTTTGAACATGTTAAAGTGTAAGCATCAGCACAGGAACAGCCATGTAATTGCTCTGCAAGGATTTTAGCCTCAGAGAAGAACAAACCTCTGTTAGATTTAATTGTGCAGAGTGACCCTAAACACTACTAAATTAATATACGCTCCTGCATCTTAGAGGAAAATGGGCTACTTTTGAATCACTTGTGCAGTACGACCAAACTGTTGCATGGATTTCTTTTAGTGTAGCGGTGATCTGTAGCCCAGCTCATGTTGCATCATTGTGATTTCACGTTTCTGTGGTTACAGAAAGCTATCATTCTGCTGATACAAAAGAAAGTCCCCAGCAAGTATTTGAATGAATTCATTCATCTGAGTTTTTTTCTTGCAGTCTCTTGTAATGTTTTCAGGAATCAGGAACATAATGCAATTCATTGTTGTTGATAAAAAATGTCACTGGAATAGTGGAAATTCGGATCTTTCGATATCATGATGTGATGGGGTCAACCCTGTCTAGTTCGACTAAACGGTTAAAGCTTTTTATGTAACAATTACCAGGGGAAAAATAGTGAAATTAAAACTCATGCAAAACCCCAGTGAGGCTGTCACTTTACAAAAGCTGCAGATATCTTGCTATTGTGCTGAGAAACCCTCTGAGTTTCAGGGAAATATGATATCCGATGACATTTCGCCTTCATTACATGAGGGATTTGCCTTTTACAAACTTGATTGGAGTACAGAATACTAGATGACCTGGGCCTCTTTTTCCTCATATCTCTTGTGATGACTGCAGCAGATACGTAACACAGTCTGGATGCCTTCAGGCTGTTTGATGTTTCCGTGGTTGGGACTCGCGACCAACAGTTTGGCCACAGAGAACACCGTCTCCTCTCCAAACAGCTCGAGAGTGTACGCTACATGCAGATTATTGTAGGTCCAACAAGGACAGAGAGAGACTGATACGTTATCTGCGAGGTGACCGACAGATAGCTGCTAATATACAAGTGCAAAGTAACAATCTGTCAGCTTCTGATTGCTTCTACAGCTTGTAATGAGGTTGATGGAAAGTTTAGCCATTGATCATTAATACAGACAGAGCTCAAAATATAGAGTAAAGGAAATCCCAACCTGAAATGCTTTGATGTTAAATGCACAGATGCCGGTCACGTGATTCACATTTGTGGGTTCATTTTTCATTCTTCCTGTTGCTAGTAACTGAACAAATGCTGTAGTGTTACTGTAAAGTTGTTCCTGTGCAGGTACAACACAGTTATAGAAAAACTGAACATTAAATGCAGAGGTGATGGCAAAAACAGTTTTCTAAGTTAGAAGCAAACTCTTAGCAACTTAGGTCAAGGATGAGAGGGAATAAAGTGATATTCTGTCGGTTTTGTAATTGGTGTCATTTACAACAAAATGCAGCTTTGCCTGATTATAGTTAACAGTTTTTTAAACATAATGAAGGCGTGTGAGATGACTTGGAATAAAAAAACAAGCAGCACATACCTTATATTTAAAAAGATGTAAAGGTGATTGCTTACTGCAGTTTGACTGGTACCAGACTTTTCCTCTGATCCTCACTTGCCTTATCTTTGTTCACAACAGCGAATCAGTTCCTGTGAATGTGGTTCTGTGCTGTTTTATGTTTTAACTGATGCTTAAAAATAGCAACAGAAAATGTCACCTTCAGCAGAGGTTTGCTCAGTCTGCAGTAAACGGAAATCAGCAGCCATGCAGAATCCACAGTTTTATTTCATTTGCATTTTATAGGGACAATTTAACATAGTTCTAATACAGATAAATACAAATACAAATACTCATAAAATACTTCAATTGTGATGCATAATGGGGAAAATAACAACTACAATTAGCTTAAAATGGCTGTAGCTCTCGTTTGCAGTCCTTAACCTTGGTTGTGAAAGGTTTTATTTGTGCAAGTAATTTGATTTCCGTTTGTTCCAGAGTTGACAGCCCTTTACATAAAAACGCTGACTATCCAAAAGTGTCCAAAGACAAGATCTTGCACCGTGTTTGCAGTTGTATTGCTTAACCCGCTGCCTTTGTGTTGGAGCTATTGTGCACAGGGATTATTAAAAATGAAGCAGAGCACTCAATCAATCATTTATGGTAGCTTATCTTTCACTGTGCAATTTAAATCTAGTAAAGAGTTTGTTAAATTGCTGAATGATGTTCCCTTTTCTTGATTACAACATAATCTTAAAAGAGGAAGGCTTATTGGTTTTGGTTCCATGTCAAAACCACAAAAACCTAAATCAGAATCTCTGCCAACTCCCTAATATTACTTTTTCTCTTTCTGCTAGTGAAAGAGCTCTCTAGATATTTGCTGTCTGAATGTTTTGGCTAAATTTAATATGCTATAAGAAAAAAAGAAGAGTTAGATGAAAGGTACGCATTCCGATCATGGAAACTTGATCATCTGCGGACAAACAAAGTTTGACAAAAGAAGTGTTGTCATGTAGAGTGTTTTGATTTAGAGGTGAAAAGAATCCTGGGAAATGTAGGAAATTACTTTCTGAAGTAGAAGCAGATAAAGCATAAGAAGTGGGGGTCAAACTAAGTTAAGATAGTGTTTTAAAACCACAGAATAACTCCAGGAAAGCCCATAGCATCATGTTAATGTCTTATTTTAGATTTAAAGTCGACATGTGAGGGCTGTGAGGAGTTGAGTCTGAGTGTCGTTTGGCCTGTTATGTCCACAGTTGTTCCATAGGTGGCAACGAAGGAAGTAGGAAACCGGTATTAGTAGGAAAGCTGCTGAAATCCTGAGAAAAAAGACCTGAGACAGAGTTACACATCAGAGCTAAAGCTTGATACTCTGGTTTCTTGTTCAGATGCTTTTCAGTCATCAGTCATCCCCAAATCTGACTGTTTTTGGGTGACAGAATTAAATAGACCCAGCTGCTGAAACATGATTTCATTTGAATCCCAAACTTTCTCCTAGAATCTGTAATGTGGCATTTTACCTTTATAAAAAAACGTGGAAAAAAGTAGGTACATTAGCTTAGTTGAAGGGAAAAACTTTTTTATAAATGACATACAAGTTTAACAACTATATTTTTTAGAATAATTTGTGTGTTCAGCAGCTCATACTGCTAACAATCTTATTCTTTACTTCCTAAATGTTGAATAAAGTGTGGCTTTGCACACAAGGATTAGCTGGTGAAAAACCTGAATCCCCTGTTTGGACAACTTTTCTGAACAACGCACTGATAAAGCGATTATATTTTTACACATGACAGGTTGATTATTCAGTATGACTCAGGGAGAGCGTCCTGTCACAGAGTCCCTTCATACTGAAATCCAGAGCAGCTGGTAGAAGACGGTCCTGGCGCTGACCTCTGACCTCTGAGCCCCTTATGACCCGCTCGGCTCACGCTGCTCAACCCACTGTGACTTAGAATGGATTAAATTGCCGGAGGAGTATTAATGGAATTAGTATTAAAAAAAGAACATCTCCTCGGTGCACAGGATCGCCTCAGACAGAACATTAAGAAAATTATTCATATGTGAGTGGATAAAAGACTCTCCAGTCAACACTACTAAGCTTTAGTGCTTCTGTTAGAGCTGCAAGTGGAGCCGCAGTGATGAATCCATTAGTTGTCAACTGTTAAATTACTTGGCAGCTATTTTGATAATTGATTAATTACTTTAAGTAATTTTTAAAGTCTAAGCTTCTTAAATGTGGATATTTTTATGGTTTCTTTCCTCCTCTGTGACAGTAAATTGAATGTATTTGGGTTGTGGACAAAATAAGACATTTGTCATCTTGGACTTTTTCTGACGTTTTGTAGACCAAGCAATTAATTCAAGAAAATAATAATCAGATCAATTGACAGTGACGATAATCGCTAGTTCCAGTCCAACTGCAAAAGATAACTGTATTCATCATCAACTGGTCTGCTGCTTATTTTACTGATCAGTTGTTTTGTCTGTATAATGTCAGAACACAGTAACAAAACCGCATTATAATTATCCTGTATTTGGTAAAAAAGAAGTATATTTAAAAAAAAAAATTGCTTGAAAAATGATTGGAACAAATCATAATATTATAATTAAATCCGTCTCAAGTTAATTTTCTGTTGTTCAGCTAAGCAATCAATAGTTTAAAGACATTTTTGAGGGTTTTCATTCAGGCAAAACAATAAAGAATATTGTTCAGTGTTTTGCAAAACAAATCATGCTGGCTGTGATCCCAATAGAACCTGTCGCTTAAGGGGTTCTGCTGTTACTGTGCTTGTTAAATGTATGTCCCCGGATGACTGGGATGTCATTGATTTCAAATAAAAAGAATTTGCATTGAGACTTAAATGATAAATTATGAATTTTATGACAACAGAGGTTTTGTTTCTGTCTTGTCATCATTCACTCTGCATGGGCTCAGCTGACTGAGACTACATACTGTAATGCCAACACCTCAAAACACAACAAATAAAACGACTTTTTTAGCTCGAATGAAACTTTTTAAATCCGTTTTCACGTCGGTGTTTGTTGGGATAACAGTACGGCCTGTTTGAGGCGAGGATGAATGTGTGCGGAGCGTCTTGGAGAGCGGCAGAGTCTCCGACACGGTGGCCTGTTATGGGCTTCAGTGTGTTGTCACTTAAGTAAAGCCGGCGTAATCCTGTAAGGGCGGATGAGTAGACAGACATGTGATGCCCCACTTGTTTCTTAGGTGGAGGGCGGTGGAGAGGGGGGCTGGCAGGCTTTACTAACCAGATGGAGAGGCTTTGTAGTGTGTGTGTGTGTGTGTGTGTGTGTGTGGGCGTGTGACTGATTAGACGCAACATTAACTGACACTTGTTCTGATGTGGTTTTTTTGTCCGCCCGGTAGTAAAACAAAACACCTTGATTCAGTGTCCAGCAGAGTGAAGTCGAGACGGAACCAGACCCAGACTTTGACGGGTTCAAGTCTCAGTCAGTCGGACATGTTTTGCGCCCGACTAACGCCAGTCACTCAGGCCATCACACTCAATTAGCAGACTTCCTGTCCTCTCCCTCACCCCCCTCTGCCAGATTAAAGCCATTACACCATACCGGTGTATCGGCTGCGCACTTTGCCCTCCCCAAGGACGACACACATACTCGCAGTGACGGTAGTTTATTCACTGAAAATCAGATCTTACGGCGCTGTCTCGCGGGTAGTCACACAGGTTGTCTGTCCATGAGTTTTTAATGGGTGGAGATGAGCGCCACCAGCAGCACCAGACTGAGCCCCAGTCCGAACCTACTGCAGGTGAACGAGCCGAAGCGCTATGGCTCCACGCTGTCGCTGGAGGAGAAGTGTGAGCAGTCTTTCTTCCTCTTTTACTACTACAGGATGGAGGATGAGGCGGTGCTGGACCGGGGGGCGTCCTTACTGAAGCACATTTGCGATGAGGAGGAGGTAGAGGGTAAGTTAACCTGTTACACTACACTTTAATTTCTCTGCATGTGAGCAAAAAAACTTCTATTTTAGCTTCAATGTGACACAGACTGTAGGACGATGCAAACAAAAACATTTTAAATTTCTGCTTTTAGTAATTTGTCTAAACAGTGAGCTAATATAAATCACTAATCAGGTTTTTTAAAACTTGCTTAAAATCCTAAACAATTGAGTTATTCTGAATTGTTTTCTCAAAGCCAGAGCACTCATTGAGAAAGACAGGAAGGGCCTTTTAAAGACTTGCCAAATTTGCGTACATCCTGCACGTACACCCTGGTGCTCACCTATTTAGCGAGCTGGCACGAGAATGATGTAGAACGCAGTGCATGTGATGCTGTGTTTACCTCACTAATCCCCACAAAGACCTACAGGACAACAAAGAGAGCGAAGAAAAGCTTGTGCTATACTGAAATGTCTTCAGCATGTGCTGGTTAATAATTTAAGAGTAAAACTTCTATAGATATAATCTGTCTGCATAACAGTAATAATACTCTCAGGGAATGTTGTTTAAGTGCCAGGTTGCTTTTTTTAAAAACATTATAGAGAACCTAGCTACTACAAATAGTTCTGTATTTCAGTTATTTTAACTAATTTTCAATAGCTTTCCCGTACTGTTCTTTCAATATGTTGTGTTTCCCTAATTTCTGACCTGACTAATTAATTCAGGCGCCATTTACATGTTTTATTACACCTCAGTCCCTCCTTGTTGCTCATGATGTGTCTTGTTTCTCAGGGATGAGGTTAAGGATGAGGAAAAGCGCTATATAAATCTGATCAATTATTATTATTAAGTTAACACAGTGCTGACATTTGTCTTTTTTGGTTATAGTCCAGCAGATTAAAGGGTCTGGCAGGAAACCTGTTTTAACGTCCAAGAAGCTCATGTTTTGTTTTGGTTCTTTGGTGCAAGTGCTCAACATGGTTCCAGCAAAAACCCTTTGTTGCTGGTTCTAGGTTTTGTCTTTGGTAAAAATGGATAAAACCTAAGCCAAAGTAAGAAAAAAAATCCAGATTCGTTCTCTGTGGAATAAAAAAATGGAATTTAAACTGCAAAATTGTGCTATAAAAATAGTTAATAAGTTTAATTATTGCTTGTTTAATGGGCTATTCAGTGCACCAACGAAATTGAAAATCAGAACCGTTGTTAATCCTGAACTATATGCAAAAAAACAAATACATCGCCATTATTTTGGCAGATGTTACAGCTGCCATATCGATCACAAGTTTGTTGTGAATAGCCATTTTTCTAATATTTTTTACTGTAAAAAAATCAAAGAATGATGATTGATATTTTTTTTTTTGCTGTGGGCTGAACCAAACAAGTTTGTTGAATGAAGACTGTGATTCTTCAGCTGGGTTATCCCACTGCTTTATTTAAAATGTGCTGTGATACGTTTTTACCTTTTAAAAAAAAAAAAAAAAAGTTGCATCCTTGGATTTAAATATTGCATTTGACCGTATTGCGATTTCAGTAATATTTGGATCACTTGTTCAGCCCGAGTTCATGCATGTTACATTTTTCCATAGTTTTTCGAATGCATGATGTTGAGTTTCACATATTTTCATTTGTCATTTCTGTACCATTACATACAGCCACTTCATTTATTTCTGATAATGAACTGGACACGAGGTATGTCATCCATCTATGTACACATTAGTTTTTTTTTAAGCTCTGTTATCACTTCAGAGCACAGATTTCAAATCCAGCTGCATTACCACGCAGCAGTAAGGAGCTGATGATGGATTACAAGCATTAAAAATCTGCTATTTAGTTTTTGCTAGAACATGAATTTCAAACAATGGCTGCATAGAATAGCTGTTAAAACAAAATCATGGTTTGTTGACTGTGATGAATGGTACAGTTAATTTTGCACCCTCATGCCAGAGGTCAACATTTCGTCAGGTGTTACCTCAGTTTGAACTCAGTGGGCTTCGATCTCTGTAACTTCCTGTGCGTAACCAGCGTCTCAGCTGTGCCTGCATGCGTCCTTGTCTGCTGGCCAACACTCTTTTTGGAGTTGAGCTCACTGAGCTCAGTGTCCTCCCTGCTGTTTTGTCAGAGCCGACGGACTGGATGATCAGAGGAACAAAAACAGATGAGCTGGTTCAACATTTCTCACATCGTACAAGATAGTTCTGTAAGAGGAGCCCGGTGCAAATGCTCAAGATAGACAGTTAAGTTATGCAGCTCAAGTCTCTTTTGTCTTTTGGCTACAAATTAAAGGGCAAATTAAAGGAAAAACATGAACTCTTGACCCCTACAGTGAGGGGATCGTGTGGCTCTGATATTGTGCTGTAGGGGGCATTTTGCTGGCATGGCTTTGGCCCACTTGTCCCTCTAAGCCTTGATTATACTTCCTGGTGGACGCGCACACGGACAGCTGCGGACACCACGGATGCATAGTCATTATTACACTTTTGTGGTTCTTGGTATTACAGTACTTCCGCTTGCACGACTCTGTTCTATACATGTGCAAACTTTTTATCTATGCTTTCCGTGCGTGCACACTAAAGCCGAGCATGTGCACTGCTGCCCTTGTCGTGTAGTCACAAATTTTGGGCTGCACATGAATGTCCACAGTGGATTCTAGTGATCCTTGCACAGGTGCAGAAAGTATACGGCTGCTGTCTGGGATGATAATGCCCCATCCACAGGGGATGAGGGGTCACTGGATGGTTTAATGAACAAGTTGTGAATCATATCCTATGTTCTTCACAGTCACCAGTCACCTATAAGTGAGTTTGGACTGACATGTTAGCCAGCAGGCTCCAGCACCATCATTAAATCACCAAATGAGGGAACATCTTTTGGAAGAAAGGTGTTGCATCCCTGGAGTAGAATTCCGGCAGCACATGGTGGCCCTACATCTAACTACAACACTTACTTTTTTCTTTAATTTGCCACCCATCTGTATGAAATTGTAGATTTTTATACATTTTCTGGGACTAAAGCGAAGCGGTTAAGATGTCAAAGATCGTTTTGAAACATTACAGACCTAGAGGAACCAATAAACATGCAGTTTTTGCAGTACAAATCCTTCTATCCATACTCTCCAGTCCATGTTTTAGACAGTGCTGCAAGATGACAAAGAACTGTCAGCGTGCTAAGTTAAACACCTGTAGAAGATTTCTTTTTTACAGTGGTGTTAGAAACTCTCCACCTCCATCATCAAAACACCAAATGGGGGAATCTGTTCTGGAAGAGTGTTTTCATCCCTCCGGCAGAGCTCAGAGACTTGGAGAATCTTGGTTTTTCCTTTCATTTGTCATCTTTCTGCGTTAGAGAAGCTCCCATGCATCAAAACACTCACATCTGGCTCGACCTGAAGTTAAACCGACGAGTGTTTGTATAAGAGTTAAAAGTTTTAAGTTACTTTCCGACTGCTGAGTCATGAGTGACTTAGAACAGCAACATTTCTTCTGACAGACACCCAGCTATCAACATCTGTCTCTCCTAATTCAGCGCTATCTTTTTAAGGTTGTTTAGTATGCTGTCAGTGCTGCGTGGCGCGTTGCCATCCTCCCCACTGCTCTGGGCAGGTCCCAGCGGCGCGGTTACTGGGGAAACTGGCGGTGGCGTTGCCTCTCCTCAGAAATCTAGCGAGCTAAATAAACCTCCCAGCAAACACAAGGATTTCATTTCATTCAGTGCGCGCTTACAGGCAGCTCCAAAAGAAGTTCTTCTTCCACCCAAAAAAAAGAAGAGGAAGTTGTTTCACAAAGCTGCCCTGGCAGTGTGCAAATCTTCCTTTCCAGCTCCTTGACTTGACTACTTTTTAGTCCTCCTCCTCCATCACTCTCCTCACATTGTCTTACCTACTTTCTTGTCGTTGTTCAGCCTGTGCAAACGTTTTCACGCTCGTCTTTATTGCTCATCTATCAGCTCTAATGGCAACTGTGCGCTTTATTAGCTCTTTCTGTCAATGTCTTTGTTCTCTTTTATTGTTATTGTCCAGCCATCTGCCTCTGGCTCTTGTCGTCATCCCCACTTGTTGTGTTTCAAATCCAAATTATTCATTAGCTGACTTCATTATTAATAAGCAAACCATCATTAAAGTACCTAATTCAATCCTGGGCCTTCATATATGACCTATATACTCCTGGTCACCCAGAGTTTGCATTGCTTTACAACCTTTGTGTCTTTGCAACAAAATGAAAACCGAGAGGAAATTTGTCCAGTTTTTCATATACAACTCTGAGAATTGTTAAGTAGTGACACAGCAGTTGTACACATTTTTGAACATGTTGTACAATAAGCAACAGAAGCTTAACAACAAAAGCATCCTTTAGAAACTCATAGAAAAAATCTAGCCTCAGTATGCGTTATATGGCAACACAAGAGTCATGAATTCACACAACAAGAAAAAATAAGAGCAGAAAACAAGCAAAGTAAATAACAAATGAAAAAAGTAATGTAATTAGCATATTTGTGTGTAAATAAGTGCACAAGCTTGTTCAGGTAGGTGTTTACAAACCCATTAAAACAAAATATATCATTTAAAAAATGCCAAATTAGGCAAGTTACATGTACTGGAATGTGATTTATTTGTTTAAGTTTGACGCTATTAATTGTTTGAGATCATTGCATCACTGCAGAAATCTTCGTGGTTTGTTTTTTAATCAGGGAATTTAGCATATTTTCCCCCAAATCCAGCATTGATTCATTGTTTTTTTTTGTACATTTTTACTTGTGAGGCATTTAAATCCCTCACTGCACACCAGTCACACATCCACAGGTGTTTTCCTTTGGCTGATTAGACCCGCTCTGTGTGGATGTGTGCAGACTGAGCTCGTCTGGCATCTTTATCACTCTCCTGTTAGTTTTATTGCACCTGTTGGTGTTCTGGCACAGTGCTGCTTTTATCCAACTAAGTGTACTTTCCACTGCGTTTCTAATTTGGCGCTCAAAATGGCAACTTGAATTTATGGCTTGTTCAGCATGTAAACAAAATTTTGCTTGTAGCAACAGCATTGTAACCAACACAGGCTTTATCTGCTGCGTCTGCCATTTATATTCCACCTGTATTAGATTGAAGGGAATTCTTTGCTCTTGCCGGCACATAAATTGCAGCACGCTAGCACAGCCGCATAGAAAGCAGCCGTTCTTTGCTTACCTGGTGTAAATCCCAGCATAACTCCACTAAACCGCAACCCGAGCAAAGCTGTAATACCTTTAAAATACCTGCGTGGGCGTTCAGGGCCTTCAGACGTGCAGCGTTCCCCTGTCACCGAACTGTTCTGCCACATGGATCCTTATGAGTCCTAAAGAACTTCAGAGCATTCTGTGATTTATCTTATGACAATGTAAATATTTTAAGGTCTTCTTCTTTAATAAGGCTTTAACTTTGCGCAATTTGTGGGCATTTTTTTCTGCTCTGTGATTTTTTTTTTTTTTTACTTACTGTTGGTAAATTTTTTAATTTATTTTTATTTTTTTACAGTAACATAAAGTCCTGTAGCGCTATTAAACAGAACAACCATGACTAGAAGTAGAGAGAGACGTGTGCAATATGACACAGAATGACAAAAAATATGAAAAGAAAAAAATAAAAGTTTAATTTCTTTCGTTATTTTACAGAAATGGAGAAAAACTAAAACTAACATGTACAACATTTTCTTTGATTAATGTTGGAATTCTTCATTAAAATGATGTTTAAAAAAGGGCACCGATACAGCACAGAATCACTGACTTAAGGTACAACCACTTTGGACATCATGTATGAAAAGAACGAAGCGTTTGCTTCTAATTCACTCATTCAGTCTGTAGTTTAACCCGATCTGGTCCTTTGACTGAACTTGGAGTTTTGTTTCTTCGAGTAAGTGAATTGTGTTTGTATGTTGTTCCTTTGTGGCAGAGGATTGCAGCAGGGCTGTGCACCATGTACGATTGATCTTGTGTTTTCATGTTATCACATAAACATGGGAGAGGTGCCATCTTTGTTGAACCAAAAGCCTTGTGGGCAGCAGCTCTGGTGTGGGTGATGCTGGTTCTGTCTCCAGCTGGTTGTCTGTTTTCTGTCTCTGTTTCTGTCTGTCTGTACTCTTCACCCTCTCTCTTTCTTTCTCTCACGCTTTTTTTTCCTTCACTATTTGTCATTTGTTTACAGGCGTTTCTATCTTTGTCCTTGATCTTGTGTCATGTGAGAGGGAAAGTCACCAAAACAGACAGGTAGACTGAAGGAACATATATCAGTTTATTAGCAAATTAAACCGTGTGTTTCAGTCTGATTCATATCAATATCTGTTCAGAAATCAGAAAGCCACACAAAAAAATTAACCGCAGACAGAGCAAATGAAAGCTTGACCCAGTGAAACATTCCCCCTCGTTTCCCTTCACATTAGTTGGGACAGTTCAAATCTTTTCCTTCTTCTCTTGCGCTCAGCATTAGCTTGGTATGTTGAACCGCCGGTGTCACTGAATTTAGATGAACCTCTAAAAAAACAAGGCATTGTGGTACGACTGAATAATGAATGCTGTTGTGCTTCAAGAGAGATCATTGTTTGTTGTGTCGAGGGGTTCAGCCACTTCCTGGTCGGGTCATGTGCAGTGCTTGGCTCAGCTCTGCCCGACCGAGGAGACGTTTGACACGTATCGCATGAAGCCTTTTGTTTCAGGAGCATGTTTGATGTTTGCCCTTAACGGTTGCTTTTCATAGTTTTTTCTGCTTTAACAGAGAAGTATGAAGGTATTAAAGGGAATGAAAGGAATTATTGGTTCCTACTATTCCTGATATGAAACATAAAAAAACAAATAAGGCTATTTTGTGCTCTTGAGGGAAACATACAGTCCAGTCCAGTACTGTATGTGAAGGAAATGAGCATTAAACTGATCCACAATCATCCAATTGACCACACATTTAGTTACCAGTTAATCTCACACACACACACACACACACAGTTTAGCCCACTTGAACTCCTCTTCCTGTGGCCTAGAATTCATTTATAAAGCTTGGGAACCTTGTTTGTACTTTGACTTGAGGAAACAGAGTCTAAATTTAGTTCTAGAGCAAAGATTTCTGATGCCATGGAAGTTCAGGGGTTTTTACTTTCTGAATTTTCATCGATTAACATCCAGACTGAACATTGTCTCATTCACACAGCTAATGATGTTAAATTATGTTGCATCATACAGAGATCTGTTCCAAGTGTTTTGTCTGTTTCTTTCAATAAATGTACTGTAAATAACAGAAACATCTCTCATTCTAATGCAATTTAACAATACCACTCCTAAAAGATCATAACGTTGAACCAGCTTCTCTCTAAAACAGTTTCAACAAAACACTGAACAGCATAACATTCATGAAAGATCTATCTCAGGACTGTTGTATTAGTTTGTTTTTGCTCAGTGTACTAGCAAACTTGCTAAAAAGTGAATATATTAACTTTATTTGTGTAGCAGAGTTACAGCTAATCCAAGTGTGTACCATCAATAAAATAAAATGAAACGCACTATAAAGCTGATAATGATAAAATGCAAGACAATAAAATACGAAAGTCCTCAATAAAACAATAAATAGATCCTGTACCAGTAAATAACATAAAACTACATAAATGCAAACCTAAAAAGACATGTTTTAGGGATAAATATGAAGCTACTTAGCTGTTCTAGAAAACAGAATATCTCATCTCAACCTCAGTTCTACTCTGGGGAACATTTAAGACACCAGAGGTCGAGGATCTGAAGGATCTAGATGGGGGCAAACCTATCCAACAAACCAGATAAATGTTCAGGAGCTGGTCCATTTGGAGATTTAAAAACTTAAAGCAAAAATATTAATGAATTTTAAAATAAATGAAATTTGCTTCTGTGTTTAGTATCAATGAGAAGATTGCATTTTGGATCATCTGAAGGTTTTCTTGAGCTTTAAACTAGTCAAGTCTGCTAGAAATAGTCTTTCAAGTGTCTTCCTTTAGACAGGAAAGGTCACACACAGGAAATGTTTATGAACCGGTCAAATGCATTTCAAAGGAGGTTTCTCTCCTGGGACTCAAAGGTTAGGTCACAGTCAAAGGTGACACCAAGGTTCTTTGCCTCGTGGCTTTTGTTCACAGCCAGCATTTTAAAATGAGCACTGAAGTGACTCATTTGTGAGTTTCTTTCACACCTCAGTTTGAGCTTTTTCCATCCCATTAGCGCCCCAAAACAAAAAGCTTTGGTTGACTTGAAATCGGTGAGACAGTAACAATGAACCACATGAGTTACTAGTTTTAGTTTCATAAAAAATGTTGTTGTCCAAAGACGTTACTCAAACCACTTCTTCTGCATAATCCATGTCTTCTAAGTCCATCAGTATATGTAATAGTGATTAATTCGCCAGCATCTCACTAAGTCACTGGCTGTCAGTAGAGCTGCAGTATTTGATATTGTTGTAAAAGAAAGTTTCTTTGGTGGTTTGGTTCAGTGATTCATGCAACCAAACAAACAGAATGTTACACCCAGGTATGTGTGGATTAGATTCCAGTAAGTTAAGAATGACTTCCCTGAACCAGATACCTAAATACCATCCAGATGACCGGCACTTATGACAGCAGACATACAGCGTGTTGGCATTACATCCACATCCATCCCAGTGGCATGTTATCAGCAAACAGTGGTCTGCTTGTCATTATACTGACCCTCAACTGCACGACTACACTGTATGTAAGGCTGCGTGCCCTGTTGATACTGTGCCAACACGTATAACAGGGACGTGTTCATGCAGACAGTCGTGGCGTCTTCGCTGCTACGTGCGACTTCTTTTTCTGTCCAAATATTTGTTTTGACAGTGTACTGCAACCTCCATTACCCTGCTCTGCTACGCTGTCTCGGGTCTGTTGTGGGCCATGTGAGAACGTTCCCTCTTGAACTGAGCTGAGACGTGGTCAAGATTAGGTCGGGGTTATGTGCAGGATTGGATTTCAGTTACTCTACAGCACTGTAGGGACGGTTAAAAGTGTTTTACGCTAATGCTCCACTGATTTATCAGTCAGGTTTCCAATTATTGGGATCATTATTACTTAAAAACGGATTACAGCAGAAGAAATACATTTTAAAAAATGTGATGCTTTGGGTCTGATACAGTCACCTCCCTCTATTTGTAGTCACCACTCTGCGGTTTATCACATTGGTTGCATGTCGGCACCAATTCACAATAAGAGATAAATGTTGAAAAGTTCACATTTTATCAAAATCTTGGGTTAAGGTTTGGGTTTTTCTAAATATTGACAACAAGATTTTGATTTTTACAGCAAACCTATATTAGTTATCAGCCTCCTCGATTGCTAATATTCACTATCGACCTTTTATTGGTGGACCTCTAATGCTGCATTTCATGGGTTTTTGATTGTGAGTGTAATTCTTCGTGAGTTGGCTGAGAAGTGTAAAATAATTATTGCTCATCTGAATCTGATTTCATCTCCTTTTTCTTTTTTTGTTGTTTGCAGGTCACCACACCATATACATCGGCGTGCACGTCCCCAAGAGCTTCCGACGTCGGAGGCGTCACCGTCGGAGAACCGCCCACAAGGACAGAAAGGAGAGGCTGACGGAGAACGCCTCTGACAAGTCGGACACGGAAAACAACGACGAGGCCAGCAACAGCATCCTCAAACCTCTCAGTAAGTTCTGATGGACTCCACGTCAAGGCTGATTAGGTTTCATGTCCGTCTTTGCTGAAGGCTGCTCTCTTTCCCAGGAAAAAAAAAAAAAGCCCCTGTAACTCCCCGTGACCCTGACAAAGTTGCTGAGTCCACTTAGTGGCCAGAAATAGCCGTGAATGTCCTGCTGAGTGACAAGTGTGTTTCGACAGACAGAGTGAATTTTCATTGGAAGTAATGGCTGCTCAGATGCAGTTGTAGCAGAGCTGATATGAGTCTGGAGGGGACGGCGTGCAAGTGTGTGTGTCCCTGTGCTTCTGTGGACATAAGTGTATCTGTGTTGGGTGTCATTGCATCTATATGTGTTAGCGCCTGTGTTTTTGGTTGGTTGGAGCTTTTTTTTCTGTCCTGTAGAGTGTAAAGTGCGACGTACCCTCAGGCTGCTGCAATATGTGGATGCACGGACAAAGAGCTGAGGCTAGTTGGAGGGGAACTTGAAGGGAAATGAAAAGGCAGGAAATAGAGAAGTTACACTGGGTGACTGTGATTTAAGATGGGAAAATTAAAAGTGGAAGTTCTGCTCTTGCTGATATCAGCATTTCGACAAGTTGAATTTAGAGTTGGCGTAAGACTGAAGCTCTTTAAGTGTTCATAAAAGCTTTGGATGTCCAGAGATCATGTGGAGTTTTAGGGCTGAACAGTTAATCAATTTAAAACAATGCATTTAGCAAATTGCAAAGACTGCAATTTAGGATATACAAGGTGCGGCTATTAAATAATGAGATTAATAATGTGATTCAGTTTATTTAATGCAAGCAGTGACTGTTCATGCTGCCTATGGATCAGTGTGTACTACAGGGTTCAGGCGGCACACTGGTATAGAACTAGTCTTATTATCTAATATCCACAGCTTGTACATTTTGCAGCACATCTGGTCCCGAGTTCAAAGTGCTGTGTCAGTAGTTTTACAAATTCATGCCACCCCGCTTGTGCAACAGTCACACTTCCGATCACATCTGCATCACGGGTTTTCAAGCTGTTAAACGCCGAATACTAAACTAAAGCTTGACTTTAAAATGTAATACTGCAAATTAAAATGCAATATCTGTCAGACGACCAATTAAATTAGATATTTTCAGACCTTATGAATTCACAATTTTTAGAGTAAATTTTCAGTGAATGTTGTGAAATCATTAACAACTAAGAAAAGCTGAAGAAGAAACAGCATGAAGAGGACACATTTTGATATGCTCATACACAAAGAGGCACAAGCTCAAAAAGTTTCATAACAGCAGATTTTTTTTTTTGCATTCTGATAAAGACAGGGGTCCTCTGATGACAGCAGTATTCAGGCATTTTGGCGAAAACAGAGGATGATGATTCTGTGTAACAGTAGTCCGTTGTGGAAAAAAGGCTTAAAACGTCCTTGCATCCTGTCAAATCCAATAATGAGGCAGGCCGCTGTCATTTCTAGTGAATGACGTAATTTTACACATGCCTGCTTGCACATGATGTGACAAGAGGACCAAAATATGCCAGAACCGGATTGTGCACATGTCATTCGACGAGGGGGATTTTCTTTAGGGACATAAATCCAGTCAGAGAATAGATTAGACACCCCATCTGGTTGTTGACTGCGCTGATGCACATTAAACCAAAACTCTACAGATTTTAGTGGATGTTTCTTGAGCACAGTCAGTTATTCAGCTGCATGGGAACTCTGCTCTGCTTTGTAATAAGCTTCCAGAGTTGCTGAAGGAATGGGTATTGATGTTACGCCAGTGATTCAGATATCACGTTGCTTGCTGTTTAGAACACAAAGCACAACAGCAGCGTAATCTGAGTTTATCTGTTACAACTTCTTATGAAACCCGACTCACAGAGCGATTCAGTGCACCCCATCTGTTTGGTGAGTGCAGCGCCTAGATATCAGTCGGTTTCTGTTTTAGTTCAACCACTAAGATGTCGATTTTTAGAATTAAAAATCAAAGTGAAATGTATCCAGTATTGAATCGTACACGTCCATCATTCTGCACAGTGATGCTGAAACATCTAAGAGAATTTAACAACGAAAAAAACCTTTATTTAAAGACTTCATGTTGTCTAGAAATACTTTTTGTTCTTGCCTGTTATTATGTAAGATCTCAGAGGGTCTCTAGTTTTGAAATGACCATAGAACTGCACCACAGAACAGATATTAAAGAGAAAAGGTGACAGATACCCAGCTATACAAGTGGTTTTTCATATTACTTCTTTTTTGATATAAATACTGTAATGTATTTATTGAAGATGTTCCCTTGCAGCCAGTGGTTGTGGAAAAACTATTTAAATTGTTGTTTCTCTCTCAAAAGCCAAAACTTGTCCCTGATCTCTAAAACAGATTCACTTTTCAGTCTTACTGGTCCACAATAAATTAAACAAGATCATTTTTTACAGCCTGTATTTGAACAAAACATGGCTCAAAGGTTGGCCAACACTGTCAAAGTCTGTTTGGGTCTTTCACTCATTTACTGCAGGTTCATAAATGATAAATTGATACTTGAGTGTCATATTAAACAATAAACTTTATGGTTTCCTCTCATTGCAGTTTGCTCCAGATGCACACTTGAGATAATTTAAAAATAAATATTCTAAATGGTTGAACAAACAGATACTCAAATAACGTGTAAATAGTCATTTGATAGTCATATTTTACTCGGTTTGCTTCTTTTTTTACTTGCTGGAACTCCACTGCATGACACTAAAATGCATTTGTGTCAAAGGGGAGGACAACCGTCGTTCATTCCTAAAAAAAACTGCAGTCAGGCTTTGATGTGGTAACATCTGAAACCCTACACACCTCGCTTTGTTTACAGCAACAGCGGTAATTCTCCATTCATGGAAAATGCGACTTATGTTGGCAAGAAAACACGAGCATTGACGTTTTGTTAGCAGTCAACACTCGGGTAGTCTGCTGGTTCCTATGGGTGAAATAGTGTAAATGCTGTTGATGTCATGGAAAATGGAGGCGGTAATGAAGTGCACACTGAAATGGAAATGCAACACAAACAGAGACAGTAAAGTTGGTATTGTCGAACAGTCGATTGTCCGTTTGTTGTGTTATATATAAACAGACTTTTGTACACTTTATGTTTAATTCAATGTGAACCATTAAGTGCACTGTTGCCAAAAGTCTCTATTAAAGTTATTTACTGATTACGTAGTTGAGAACCATTTGTTCTCTCAAGCCGAGCACTGAAAACACACTTCGGAGTTTAAGCAGCAATAGAGGTATTTTCAGTCTTTTCAGTGCTAGACAATATAAACAACTTTTAAATATTTCTCAAAAGAGGTTGGAGTTAAAGAATCACAGCTGTTTTTCCTAAGTAGCAATCATGCAAATCAGTTTTATTTATATACCCAAGTCACAAATGAAGCTCACCAGGTTTTATACTCTGTTCTTGCAGCAAACAACAGTCTTTATCCTTTGAACCTGCAGTAATTTCTTCATGTATTTACACTCCACCAAACTGTTCAATGCAGATTGACAGTGTTACAATTAGCAAAAACTACACCCTGAATTAATAGTTGATAATAAGCTGTTGGTTCGTTGGTTATTTTGAAGCTGAATACCTTTTTGTGAGCTAAAAATGTAGCACTCTGAGCTTCTACTGTGATTAATATCATAGCGTGATGGGGTCAGACGGTTTATAAAGTAGTGAAAAGATTGAAGTCATTACTCACAGCATTTTTATGTCACTCTCAACTGTTGTTCCAAGTTATGTTTTTTAATTGTTGATATTACAATTTGATTCCATAAGTACAGTGGTCGACTGGGGCGAATGACGTGCATATACACAAACGAGCTGCATATACATGTGCTGTTAAAAGAAAACGCTGCAAACACAGAAACGCACTGCAACAAGAAAATGCTGCATATGAAGTGCCACAGGCTTCTAGGGGCAGTAGTGAGCTTTTCGCCTGAGAGGCACCAACGGTGAGCGAGACAAGTAGCGTTAGTTGAGGGAAAAGCTGTATGAAGAGGTATGTATTCTCTCGTCTCCATGGATAAACATAAATAACAGAGAGAACACAGGGAGACGGTAGTAAAACACCACTTCAGCACCCATATAATCACAGTGACCGAAAAGCTAAACACTTAAAAACTGCCCCTAGAGTCCTGTGGCACTTCCGTTGTGTGACTGGATATGCAGCGTTTTCTTTATTCTGCGTGTTTCTGTTTATGCAGTGCATTCATGTACATGCAGCTCATTTGTATGTATGAACTTCATTTGCCCTCGTCGGCCATTTATGCAACGCATGTATGTATATGCGGCTCGTTTGTGTATATGCACGTCATTTGCCCCCGTCAGCCACTGTACATAAGGGTTAGGATGTAATTTTAGCTTCAGGAGTGTGTCTGTTGATTGTATGGGGACTTTAGCCTGAGGTGGTCACCCTTTGGCTCCTCCTCTGATGTCATATGCTTTAAAACGAAAAGAAAATGATAAAAACATGCGTTGATTTATTTCATTTTTCCTTGTTTATAAGTTGAGTTCTCCAGTTTGCTGGCAACACCCTGTGCTAAAAACCTGGTTTGTATTATTCGTTATCTTTTGCATCATTTATGACTCTAAAGCAGCTCTGCCTTTAAGAAATGTTTATACAGCTAAAAGTGAAATCTGCAGGCATGCAGTATGCCGAACGTCCTACTGTTATTTACTGCGCTCTCTCTGGGAAACATGGCTGCCCCCAGGGGAAGTTCCTTGTCTGTCTGGACTGAAATCCTCTTGTTTGGTCAGATGGACGCCGCAGGGACTGAAAGTACATCCTCCTGGTAACATGCGTGTCCACTGCACAGCTATTTGACCTCTGCTCGTTTTGATGAGCGCGTTTGTTTTTGCCCATCTTTTTCTACTTTGATCAAATGTTCTCTTTAAGTGGATTACGGAGATTACTCAGAAACTTTGCTTGCACACAAATAGGTTTAGTTACACAAAGTCAAGGACAGCAAGCTATGACTGAGGATTTTTTATTTTATG